GTATCCCACATGAACCTTAGGCTTTCTTCATTTTGTTTTGATTTTTTTTTCTGATTGATCCCTTTCCAAAGAAGTATTCAGGTATTTGTTTTCAATCTCATTAATTCTGCTTTCCACTACATCAATTCTACTCCCTTGCCCTTTCAATATGTTATCTATTTCTGACAATTTAGTATAATCTTCTGCATTTCTATCTGTAGATTTAGAATCATTTCTAATTTTTCATTTATTTTGTCATTTTATTCTTGTATTTTCTTCCAAAATTCTTCTAGCGTTTTGTCTGTGTTTTCTTTGGTCTGTCTCTCGATCCTTTGAAGATACCTAAATATAATTCTTTTGAATTCCTTATCAGAGAGTTCCAATGTTGCATCTTCCTCAGGGATATGTTCTGGGTCTGTATACTGCTCCCTTGTTTCTACCACTTTATCTTGCTTCTTTGTGTGGACTGTTATGGTCTGTTGTCTCCGAGACATCGTGGTGGTGTTGTATATAGATCTCTGTTAACTTTTTGTGAAAAGCAGTCAAGGGTGAGTCAGGCTCTTCCTGGTGGTGGTTTATCGTTGACCCGTTGGTGGAGAAAGAAGTGGTGGCTCTCACTCAGTAAGTGAAGCTGCAAGAGGTGTGGGTGTAGTTGTGTTGTATGGGGACTGTTGCTGTCTCCCACTCAGTCAGACAAAAATAACAACTGAATAACCATCAAAAAAGTAAAAGCAAATAGACAAAAACACACCGTGTAGTCACAAAGCAATAGTAACCAAAAAAAGAAAAAAGGGAAAAAGAAAAAAAAACCCTGCAATATCTGCGGAGAGGGCAACAAGGGAAAAAAGGTAAAGAAGGAGAATAATGAAGAAAAAAAACAGGAAAAGTGCAAAAAGAAAAACAAGGAATGGGGTTAACCACAAGAAAAAAAAATGCAAGCAGGAACAGGAAAAAGAAAAAAAGCTGAAAACTAGAACCTGGGAGGGGAAGAATAAAGAATAATCGTAAAAAGGACAAAAGTAATAGTAATAATAGTAGTTTTAAAACAGACACAAGCAAACAAACTAAAAAACAGAAAAAAGAAAAAAAAAAAAATAGGGGCAGGGCGTGGCAGGGTACCCAGGCTGCCTTCGAGCACACAGCCTGGGACAGAATTCCTGCTGGCCCAGAAGGTGGGTGAGAGTGAGGGATGGTCGCACCTCTATTCACCAAGAGGGTGTGCGGTATAAGAGTACCAAGGCGAATGCTGCACCTTTCCAGTCATCTGGGTCCTGAATGTCCTTGGGGTTCCCAGGAAATGGAGCCTGTTCTTAAGTCCCTGGAATCTGGGAGAATGTTGTCACTTTAAATATCCAAAATGGTCAGACTGCTTGTAAACATTCAAAATGGCTGCACCCTCCAGACAAGCAAAAGTTTACAGCTCAGCCCACCTTCCTCTTCACTGCCTCCTCCCCTTTAATTCCCCAGATCAGTCCTCCATGTAGCCTCTGGCTAGAGGGCTCATTTTTAGGTTAATTCTCAGGTCTTACCACCACTTGGCAATATCCAATCTTTCTGTGATGTCAGGATTGCTGCCAGACCGCAGCTCTGTATGTATCCTTTTTTGGTGTTTCCATGCAAATTCTTCTGCTAGCTGGAGTTTAGTCCACTTCTATATCCTTCCCTTAAAAGCTCAGGGGTCCAGGATTATATTCTGTATCTGTGTTAATTGGTTCCCTTTTTCTTTGTTGAGGAGGCTCTGTGCAGTCTTTCTGCCTATTCCGCCATCTTACCGGAACTCAAGTCACTAAAATTCTAGAGATAACTGTTATCGTAGTTAACCTATTCTAAAACATTGGTGGGTGCCTTGGTAATCAGATATGGTTACCAGGTGTTAGTTTCTGGAGAATACATTATAGAATGACCATATTTGCTGTATTAAAGATGGAGTTTTAATTAAGTATTAATATATACAATTTGAGAGAGTAGAAGGATAATATGTAAACTGGAAAGGGAACATGCAAAGAGTAAGAATCTGCCAGTGGGTCCTTATTCAGTAATGTTTATAGCTGACTAAATCACTGACCAGCTGGTGGCCATTTGGTAGACATGTACTGAATATTCTGATAAAGGAAAAGGATATAATAGGTAATCTCAGTTTTATGACTCTTAACAATTAAAATTATCCATTAGTCTAATTTCCCTTGTTCTTATTCAATTCATATCAAGTAAATTCTAAATGGAATTGAAGATTTTATTGTAAGAGGAGAATACATTGGCCAGTATACTTGGAGTATGTGCTTTCTTTGATGGTTATATTTCTTATCACAACTGACATCAAGTATGATTATGATTAGGGCAACTCAGTTGCATTGAACCTAATCTACCCTGAAACACTGAAAGAAAAACCAGAGTTAACTTGGAAATTATGTGACAGACCACTGGGTGACCCGATAAAGGCAACAAGAACCTGTAAAGGTACAATCTTAACAGCTAGCACTTCTCAACAGATGATTTTGTTGAATTGTAATCACTTACATCTTAAACTAGCACTTAATATATTATTTGTAGTTTGGAATATTCAAAATAGAAATACCAATCTATAAATTTAAAAATTTACTAAACCATATCTAAGTACTTTGAAAATAATTCCTTTTAACCATTTCTACTTTAGTAAGAAGAAATTTTGGACCCAAGAAGCTTAAGTGATTGGTTTAGGATCACACAGCAAGACAGAATCTAAAAACTCCTCATTAACTCAACCAAGTAGGATCAAAAGAAAAAAATGAAAGCCTCTAATAGTTCTTCCTAGGAATTTTAAGAGAAACAGCCAAATAGTGTTTATTTCTTGATAAAAATTGCAAATAGGGTTTAAAAAAACTGCTGTCAAATAAAATGTAACAATAAAATTGTAAGGTAAAAACAGTATCAGCAATTAATAAGAAAGTTGTTGTTGTTGTTATGTGCCATCGAGTCAGACCCAACCTATAGTGACCCCTCTTTGTGTTTTTGAGGCGGTATCACAAGGAAGATTGCCCCATCTTCCTTCCGAGAAGTGGGCTGGTGGGTTTGAACCACCAGCCCACTGGTTAGCAGTCAAGTGCCTGAGGCACTACACTACCAGAGCTCCCAATTAATAAGAATGGATAAAACTAAATCAAGTTTTTAGTACAAAGTAGAATTATTACTGTAGCAAAAATAAAAAGCAAACTCAAAAGTCCTTTAAACAGAGAACAATCCTAACAAGATAGAGTCATTTGTCATAATATCCCACACTGGTAAATTTTGAACTCTGTTTAACATTACCATTTATCATCTGCTTCTATTAACAAAGAATGAAACCAAGTTTTCTAAATGCCCTCAATGTGGACTTAACAATAATTATGTTGTTGTTGTTGTTATGTGCCGTCGAGTTGGACCCAACTCATAGCGACCCCTCCTTGGGTTTCCAAGGCAGTATCACTACAGAAGTAGATTGCCCCATCTCCCTTCCGAGGAGTGGCTGGTGGGTTTGAACCGCCAGCCTTCTGGTTAGCAGTCAAGTGCTTAGGCACTATGCTACCAGGGCTCCCTAACAATAATCAGCACTCCTCTAATACTACAAGTAAACAACTCCTTATTTGAACTCTAGAAATCCCCAAAATACTGAAAACAGAATTTTTTTCACAATTCACTTTGTGGCATAAATAGAACTGACAGGACATGAGGCCATTTATAGCCTTTATTTATCTCAGCTCTATTTGGTTAGAGGACCACATTTATTAACAACAAAAAAATTACGCACACATAAAATAGAGGTTTTCTGACACAGTGAAAAGATAAGTTATATTAATGTTGAATGTTCCTCACAAATTAACTCTTTATCTCTTTACTCCATGCAATCAAGATAACACATAGGCAAGTAATCTGAAACTTTAAACTTCAGTAATGTACTTACACGTTTCGGCAAGATATGGGCTTATGAAAACCAACTTCATTTCCAGTAAAATGTGTTTCATTGCCATTGTGATCCTTACAAGTTATGTTTGGTGCTGGGAAACATGAAACTGAAGGCAGAAAGTCAGGACAACATTATTTTTTTTCTGTAGGAAAGATACACAATTATGTTTTTTTCTAAGACTAGCAAAGTATGTAAGGAAATACAATGTTAGGACAAACCACTTCCCCATATAGAATCAGATGTAAGACTTTCATTTACATACAGGAAAACACAGTACATACGTAATTCATGTATAAAAGAGAGGTAATATTATATATACTGGTCTCTTAATACTAAGTATAAGAATTGCTACACTGGGATAGTCTGCATGGCCCACCTAGTTCTATTCCCTGCCTCTGACAAAAAGGTGGCAAGGGAAGCACCATACAATATTACTGCCCTTTACTTCATCTCAGAAATCCTTGGGAGGTGATGTAAACAGTTAAAGTGCTCAATTGATAACCAAAACTTGGGGGTTCAAGTCCACCCACAGGCAACCTGGAAGAAAGGCCTGGCAATCTACTTCCAAAAGACCAGCAACTGAAAACCATATAGAGCACAGTCCGACTCTGACACACATGGGAATGCCGTAAGTCAGAACTGACTCAACAGCAACTGGCTTTCTACTTCATCTCAAGGATTAAGAATACTTGCTGAGGTTTTGTTGGTAACTCTCTGGGTAGTTTATCTATTATTATTACATAATCTGAATTTGTATTTCCAGTTTATATCAACTCTTGATGATAAAAGCTGTCATAAATTCAGACTCTTTTTATTTATGCTGAATATGTTTATTTCTGAGTTTTCTCTAAGACTTGATGTAGTGTATTATTCAGCATTTAGCAATTCTGATCTTTATTCATTCCCCCAATGACAAGATAATAAGAGAAGTAAAATTTACAGAGCTTACTATGTGCCAGGCAAACACTGTCCTGAAGAATTTATAACTTTGTAATGTAAAAAGCCAGAACTGTAGAAAAAGAATGACCTAGTTTATTATCTGTACATTGCTCCTTTCAGAATCATGAATTCCTTGAAGGTAAAAATGACACTAAAATCACCTATCTCGTAGGATCATTGTAGGGATTAAACAAAATATAAATTATCTAAGAAGGATGTATGGGACAGGGAACTCAGGGAGGAAACTGGAAGAGGGCTGTTAAATTGAGGGAAACACAACTAATGTTATAAAACAAAAAAATGCATAAATTGTTGAATGGAAAACTACTCTATGTAAACTTTTACTCAAACTACAATAAAAATAATAATAAAATACATTTTCTTGCTCAAAAAAAATAAAGATACAAGTACTGAGTACAGGTCATAGCATATAGTGGACATTTCAATAAATGTTAGAGCCTGTGATGGTTAATGCTGTGTGTCAAGTTGGCTAGGCTAGTGGGACTGTAAAATGGTACAACCACTGTGGAAAACAGTACGGTACTTCCTTAAAAACTTGGAAATAAAAATACCATTTGATCTAACAAACCCAGTACTAGGTATATATCCTAAAGAAGATCCAGGACACAATTAGATATATGCCTGCCCATGTTCATCACAGCACTATTCACAATAGAAGAGATGAAAACAACAGAAATGCCCATTAGCGCATCAATGTATAACCAAACTATCGTACATACACACAAGGGGATACTATGGAACACTAAAGAAAAGTAAAAAATCTGAGAAACAACTCACAACATGGATAAACTTGGAGGATATTATGCTGAGTGAGATAAGTCAATCATAGAAGGACAAATATTTTGAGTCCATTATTGTAAAAAGTCAAGGAAAAGTTTACACACAGAAGGAAATTTTCTTTGTTGGTTACCAGGAAATGGGAGGGGAGAGGAAACAGCTAAATAGATAAGAGACAAATAATAATTTGGGTGAAAGGAAAGAGAATATATCAAAAATGAGTGACCAACACAATAACACTAAGGAAAAGGAAGACATGGACATGTGCACAAGAGGTACAGACAAAAAAGGTAAATATTTTTACATACAAAATACTGCATTTTCAGTAATAAGAAACATTAATATACAGGTGGATACATAGGTAGACAGGCAAAATGATCAGGTATAGATAGGCAAAAGAGAATATATAAGCTTGGCAGATACTTCCATAAACATATTTATATGTGTTACAAGAATGTCCATATATGTCCTAGAGCTAACAAGGGGAAAGTTATGATAATTTCTTAGTCACAGTCAAACACCTTGAGGGAGTGAGTTTCTGGGCCCACAGGCATGGAATCAGGGTTTCAGGGGACATCAAGCTCAATTGGCATAAACATACACAAAAACATACATCCTACTTTGGTAAGTAGCAACTGGGGTCTTAAAAGCTTGCAAGTGGCCATGTAAGATGCAACAATTGAATTCTCCTCATCAGGAGCAAAGAAGAGTGAAGAAAATCAAAGATGCATGGAAACAATTAGTCCAAGGGACTAAGGGATCATGGGAACCTCAGTCTCCATGATCCTGAGACCAAAATACCTAGATGGTGCAGAGATACGACTGCCAACCACTCAGAAAGGAATCTAAATTGGGAGATCCTAGATAGAGTGGGATAGATGAGGAAATTGAAGATTTTTACCAAGTTCTGCAGTCTGAAATTGAACAAATAAGCAACCAAGATGTATTGCTTATTACCGGTGATTTAATGCAAAAGGTGGAAACAAAGAAGAATCACCAGGTGTTAGAAAATACAGTCCTGGTGATAGAAATGATGCCAGATATTGCATGATAGTATTTTGTAAGACCAACGACTTATTCAGTTTTTCAACAACATAAACAGAGGCTATTCATGTGGATCTTGCCAGATGAAACACAGGAATCAAATCAACTGCATCTGTGGAAAGAGGCGATGAAGAAGCTCAACATCTTCACCCAAAACAAGGTCAGAAGTTGACTGTAGAACAGACTTCAACTGCTCTTATGCAAGTTGAAGCTGAAGCTGAAGAAAATTAACACAAGTCCATGAAAGGCAAAATATAACCTTGATTATATCCCATATGAATTTAGAGACCATCTGAAAAATATATTTGACACACTGAACACCAATGACCAAAACCTGACAAATTGTGGGATGACAAGAAGAACATTGTACATGAAGAAATCAAATGGTCATTAAAAAGACAGTAAAAGAAGACCAAATGATGTCAGAAAAGACTCTGAAACTTGCTCCTAAATGGAGAGTAGCTAAAGCAAATGCAAGTAATGACAAGATAAAAGAGCTGAACGGAAGATTTCAAAGAGCAGCTCAAGAAGACAAAGTCTTATAAAATCAGTATAATGAAATGTGCAAAGACCTGGAATTAGAAAAACAAAAGGGAAGAATACATTCAGCTTTTCTCAAGCTGAAAGAACGGAAGAAAAAATTCAAGCCTCGTGTTGCAGTGTTGAAAGATTCTTTAGACAAAATATTAAATGATACAGGAAGCATCAAAAGAAGACAGAAGAAAAACACAATCATTGCACAAAAAAGAACTGGTTGATGTTCATCTATTTCAGGAAGTGGCATATAATCTAGAACCAATGGTATTGAAGGAAGACACTGAAGATGCACTGAAGGAAATGGCAAAGAACAAGCTTTAGGAATTGACAGAATACCCATGGAGATGTTTCAATAAATGGATGCTGCACTGGAGGTGCTTACATGCTTATGCCAGGATATTTACAAGACAACTACCTGGCCAATTGACTGGAAGAGACCTGTATTTGTACCCATTCCAAAGAAAGGTGATCCTACAAAATGTGGAAATTATTGAACAGTATCATTAATACCACATGCAAGTAAAATCTTGCCGAAGAGAATTCAAAAACAGATGCAACAGTACATTGACAGGGAACTTCCAGAAATGCAAGATGGATTTAGAAAAGGACATGGAATGAGGGATATCACTGTTGAGGTCAGATGGATTTTGGCTGAAACAAAAGAATACCAGAAAGATGCTACTGCTGTATCATTGACTATGCAAAAGCATTCGACTGTGTGGATCACAACAAATTATGGATAGCATTGCAAAGAATGGGAATTCCAGAACACTTAATGTGCTCATGAGGGACCTTTATAAAGAGGAGGAGGCTGTCGTTCAAACAGAACAAGGCAAAACTGAATGGTTTAAAATCAGAAAGCATGTGGGTCAAGGCTGTATATTTCATCATACTTATTCAACCTGTGGGAGCTCTGGTAGCATAGTGGCTAAGACACTTGCCTGCTAACCAGATGGCTGGCGGTTCAAACCCACCAGCCACTCCTCGGAAGGAAGGTT